TAAATGTTAATTCTATAGACGTTTAGTGCATTTAGGAGTTTAAACAAAGGTTCAGCATGAGTGAGTTTATCTTTTTTATAGACAATTCTAATGGCATGTTTTTGATGTTGATAAAGTGATTTTAAATTCGATTTATGGGTACTGGCCCATGCTATATTACCATATGTATAATAGGAATGTATGAATGAAAAATAAAGATATTTTAGATTTTCTTGGGATAACATTGGTCTAGCTTTGCATAGCACGCCAATGTTTTTGGTTATTTTAGTATTTAATTAGTCAATATGGGCTTTCCATAAAATATTTTGATCAATAAGTAAACCTAGGAATTTAGTTGTAGTGGTTCTTTCGATATTTTTGTTTTTTATTCTTAGCAATGGCAATATATTTGGTAGTTTTTTTCTTTTTTGATTTGGATGGAATAAGATGTAATTAGTTTTTTCTGTGTTTAAAGATAGTTGATTAGATTTTAGCAAAATATTAAGCTAATAGAGTTCAATATTCGTTGTTTCAAAAAGTTCTGTAATTGACGGGGATGAATAAAATAAATTACTGTCATCTGCAAACATTATGACATCAAGTTTGTTTGAGGCTTTCGGAAGATCATTAATGTATATTAAAAACAGTAAGGGAGCTAGAATGGAACCTTGGGGAACGCCACATTTGATCTTTAGCATTTTTGAACAGATATTTTCATCAGTATTTACACATTGTTGTCTGTTTAGCAAAAAGTTTTTAAACCAGAGTAATGCAACATTTTTTACGCCATATTTTTCCATTTTTTTGAGCAGGATTTCATGATCAACAGTATCGAATGCTTTTGATAGATCTATAAAGATTCCTAGAACAAATTTATTATTATCAAATGAGTAGTTGATGCTATTTACAAGATCTATGATTGCATGTTCGGTTGCATGTTGTTTATTTAAGATGTTATTGTTTGTTAAATATATGCACAGTTTATTATAAATTATTCGTTCGAGAAGTTTTGAGAATACAGGAAGGATTGAGATTGGTTTAAAGTTGTTTAGTAAATATAGTTCTCCAGTTTTATATATAGGTAAATTTTTGCAATTTTTAATTTCTCTGGAACGGTTCCTGTTATAATTGAAGATTTAAATATTTCGAAGAGGGTTTTTTTTATTATCGGAAAGATATTTATAACTACATTGCTACAAATTTCATCAATTCCTTGTACTTTGTTAATTTTTAAAGAGTTTTTTGCATTTTCAAGTTCTTCATAGCTTAATCCATTGAAAATTAGTTCGCTATTTGGATCTGTAAGGTAATTTTCAAAGGAGTCATTCGTAGTTAAAATTTTAGACGCCATGTTTGCAAAGAAATTGTTGAAGTGTTCAGCAATTGAGTTCTTATCATCGTGTTCGGTTTCATTTATAATGATTCTAACTGGTAAACTATTTGTTTTTTTCCCGATTATTTCTTTCATAATGTTCCATGTTTTTTTCATGTCTCCATTTGTTTTTTTAAGTAATTTAGAGTAGTAAATTTTTTTAGAATGTTTTTTGATTTTTTCGAATAGATTTTTGTATTGTTTATAAGTAAATAGGTTAATCTCATTTCTGTTTTTTAAATATTTAACGTATAGTTTTTGTTTTGTTTTCGAAGATTTTTTAATGCCGCTGGTGATCCATGAACAGCTCAAAAATTTTACTTTGATTTCTTTTTCTTTGATTGGAAAATGATTATTATAGTGCTTTAGAAAAATATCTGTAAAAGTATTATATGCAGAGTTTGTGTTCCCAAGGTTACATTCTTGATACACTTTAACCCAATCTACTGCCGATAGTGTGTCTTTGAAATTTTGAATTGAAAATTTATTTATTTTTCTTTTACAAGTTATTTTTTTCAAATTGTTATTTACTCTTGTATCATTTTTTATTGTAAAGTAAATTGGAAAATGATCTGTTATATCAATTTTTACTATTCCTGCTTTTAAGGAGGTATCTAGAAATGAGTTTGTTAGTATGTTATCTATGGCAGAAATAGAATTTAAGGTTACCCGTGTGGGTTTATTAATAATTGCTAAAATACAATGTTGAAACATGTTATCAAAAAATAATTTAGTAATCGGAAACTCATTGTATTTTAAACAATCTATGTTGAAGTCCCCAATACAGAACAACTTTTTGATTTTAAGAAAAATTTCTTCTAGATAATTAGAAAAAGTTTTGATATTACCTTCAGGTGGTCTATAACAGGTAGAAACAATAATATTTTTAAACTTGGAGTTTACGATTTCTATTGTAAAGACCTCACTATCGGCATTAGAAATGAAGTGGTCTTTTCTTACTTTTATTGCTTGATCATTCCGAACATAAGTTGCAATCCCTCCTCCTTTTTTGAATGTTTTTCTTTCAGAAGATATTAATTTATAATTGGGAATTTAAAAGTTAGTGTTATTTTGGATTGATTCGTCAGAACACCAAGTTTCTGTTAGACAAATCATACTGAATAAGTAATTACAATCACTTAGGAAGTGCTTAAGTTTGTCAAAATTTTTATTTATGCTTCTTATATTTATGTGAATTACTGTAAAATTATTTTAAATAGTTTCAAGTTCAGTTTTAAAAGTTTCAGTTTTAACATATCGAGAATCAAAATTATTCATTTGAAAATTATGCGTATCAGCGTCAATGAGTAGGGGAAGTGGGGCCATAACCGCATATGGAGGCACAGCCGTTTTTTAACATTTCTCTTCAAAAAATGTTATCTAATATGGCAAAAAACATACCACGCGTTAGTAAAACAGTTTCCTTCATTTTGCATATGTCAAAAAGAGTGACTGTTAAGTTTCTGAGAAGTTGTGAATAATAATTTTTATTTTGATAAAAATATTATATTTACATCATATTTTTCCTGACCTTCTTTTTGAGAATTAAGCAATATTTAATTTTAGTGTTAAAAATATGTGTTATCAGCATTATTTCATGAAGTGAAAGTCATCTATGAAACTGAATTCTTTCTAAAAACTCTCTTCTGGGGCAGAACACAAAATGTAAACACAAAGAATGCCTGCACAATATGCAAACATGCAACAAAATCATCAAATAATCTGAGCTGTGAAAATTGTAAAAAAAATGTACTATGAAAGGTGTAGCCCCATCGATTTTTTTGAGGGTGCGGTTGTGCCTCACAATGGGGGCAAAACTGTTTTTTTCACTAAGTGTAATTTTTGTGTAATAACATTTTCAAAACCTGTTTAACTTTTTTCTTAAATGCATCAATTTAAAGCTTAATGATGTGGTTATTGAAATAAACTGCTAAAAAAAACACATTTCATTTTTATTTTCATATAACATTATTCCAAACGTTACGGGGGCGGTTATGCCCCCACTTCCCCGATATTATTAGCAGTTTTGAAAACATTAAAGCGCATTGATTCAAAATCTATTATTTTGTTGATCGTTGTTTTAAAATTTAAAATTGAAAACGCGTTTACTTAGTTAAAAAAAAGGGTGTACGCTATTTTTTAAAATCTCGTGTAAGTATTTTATCATATTTTAAAATGGCGTATTTACCTTCGCTTCTTAGTTTTTTGACTTCTTCCCATAACTTTCTTCGATGATATATCCAGTTTCTTTAAGTTGTTTTACTGCTTTGAGAATTTTGCTTTTGTCTTGGTAGTTCAAGAGTTTTAAGACTAATGTTCTTGGTTTGTTTTCTTTAAATTGTCTGATTCGATGAGCTCGTTCGACCACCACTTCACTAGGTATTTTCAATAGTGTTTTGAAAATGTCTTTAACAGCTTTTTCGCTATCTTCCCAACTTTCGCCTGGTGTTTCTTTTAGCCCATCAATTCTTAAGTTGCTCCTTCTTGATCTATAGATTTTTTATATAATGAATTGATTTTTTTGTCATAGTATTTCTTTATTTGTGATATTTTTTCCGAGATATCATTTTCTTGAAAATTTAGGCTGTCTTTAATGTCGCATAAGTCTTTTTCTATATTTGATATTTTACATTTGTTGTTATTAATGTCTTTCTCTAGCATGTCCAATCTATCTGTAATAATTTTGAGATAAGCACTGATAATTGAGGTAAATAATTTTTCCTGGTCTTTTAATAATCTTTCCGTTTCTTTTAGGATACTTTTTTTGTGCTTCTCAAGTTTACTTGAAATTATTTTTTCATTGTGATGCCCATTTTTTTTTTATATATATAAATACTTAATCTACGCTACAATATATATATATTACGCTACAATATATATATATATATATAAGTTTATATATATATATATATATATATATATATATATATATATATATATATATATATTGTATATATATAAATTATATATATATATAAACTTACAATATTATTTTTATATTGATTTTCAATATATAAACTGAATAAAATGCCAACATATTTTTTTATTATAATCAATGAAAAAATATTAAAATTAATAAAAAGTGCATTCTGAGGAGGAATGAAATGATAGCTGCACCTCAAAGTAAGACGTCTTTTACGACCTTTTAGAAGTAAATGGTTGTAAAAGGTCTCAAATTTTTTGTTTCTAAGACCTCCCCACCAAAAAACAAAATAAAACAAAAACATAATAACATAATTCACAAGCGATTCGTAATTTTACGGAATAGTTGTCCAATAGTTGACAATGCAAATACTATTACAACTTTCAGAAGCGAATCTACGAATAAAATGATGGGGAGGGGAGAAAACTTAAAAAGGACCGACTGGCTTCTTAAAAAAAAAAAGTCCTCAAAACTAAAATTTACCCGACTGAATTGTGTCTAATACCCGACTAGCCGACTAATTTCGTTTACTGCTTTGAGAATTTTGCTTTTGTCTTGGTAGTTCAAGAGTTTTAAGACTAATGTTCTTGGTTACCGAATATAACTTCGAAACACGAGCCTTGACGAACAATACCGCGAAGAAGCAAGTTGATTGCGGTACTAGCAGGAACTTGGTGGGGATTTATTGCATTTCCGTCAAGTGACAGAACTTTTTAATAGAGAAAGTTAAAAAAAAAAATGATTCTTTTTTTTTCAAAAAAAGCAGGTTTCATATCTAATAAATGGACATTAATTTTTTTAAAAACGTCCAAGATTCACTCTCTTTTCAGATGAAATTTTTTCTTGCAATGATGAAAGAGCCTTTTCATATTGATGTTCATAAATAAGCAACTCTTCATCTTTAATTTTCATTTTCAAAACCACGCCCGATAAATCATTGGACATCTTTTTAAAGTGATAAACCTCTTTTTTAGTCAATATAGTCAATGCTTCACCTTTATAAAAGTAAAAAATTTTTTACAAAAAAAAAAAAAAAAAAAAAAAAAAAAAAAAAATTACACAAAATAAGAACCTCTGTTTCCAGCCCTTGCTGTTCTCCCAACCCGATGAACATATGTTTTTGAATTTGCTGGAGAGTCATAATTTACTACCATGTTAACATTGTCTATGTCCATCCCACGTGCCATAGCGTCAGACGAAATAAGTGCATCTATAGAGCCGTTTTTAAAATCTCTAATAATACCTTTGCGTTGAGTTTCTGTCAGATTTGAAGAAAATTCCGCAACAGTAAATCCACCAATAGACTGTAGAAGTAAGTGTAGCCTAGCAAAAAAAAAAAATAAAAAAGCGCTATTTTTTTAAAATATCACAAAAATCGATCCATTTTTATTAAATTTTTTACTTATTTTAAAATAATAAAGGAAAAGTAATTAGACAGGAAAAAGGTAAAAATCACATTTCAACACATAGAATTTAAAAGTAACAAGCTTTTTGGATAAAATTTAAAATTTTTCAATAAATTTTGCTTTAGTTTATGACTTAAAAAAAAAATATTCTTTATCTTTAAGGGCATTTATAATAATTGTAGAAGAGGTACTAGACATGGCTTCATTAAATTAAACTGCAAAAAATTTTCATTTTTATCACTTAATGATTGTCAAAATCCCTCAAGAACCTATTTTTGTCACGCTAGACTTAAAAAGCGAATGAGAACTTTTATAAAAATGTCTGGCAATGTGGAGAAGTGTTTATGGAAATATTTATGATGAAAAATAAATAAGTATTAAAAAGGAACTGAAATTGAAACTAAATTGAAAAGCACAAATAGGCTGGGACGGCAAAAGTTCTATGTTTATGCTTAGATCAAACAAGAATGCTTTGCAAAATACTTCAATAATTGAAGCCTGGGAACAAAAATACCGTAAGATTTTAGCCCTCTTACGTGAAAAGCAACAAGTTAGTACAATATTTTTAAACTATTTTCAAATAAATTTATTTTATAAGATCCTAGACACTTAAAAACGGTATAGACACTAAAAAACCTACATGAAAGAAAAGACGAAAAAAATAAAAAGATTTAATTCATACAAATATATAAAAATATAGATAAAAGAGAGTTAATACATTGAAATTGAATATATATATGGAAATATATATATTCAATTTCAATGTATTATATATATATATATAATACATAATACATTGAAATATATATATTCAATTTCAATGTATTATATATATATATATATATATATATATATATATATATATATATATATATATATATATATATATATATATATATATATATATATATATATATATATATATATATATATATATATATATATATATTAGGGTAGGCTAAACACCCCTGATTTTTGAAAATCAAAAGGCACTGTTTTCCATGTGCTGTGAGTGTACTCTGTGACCAATAAAAAACAAAATTTGACTTATTTGGATAATTTTTTAACCCCATTCAATGGGCTCAAATACCAAATTTTGACCTCAAAAATTACTTTTATGGCCGGCTATTTAACCTTAAAAAGGAAATTCTCAAAGGCACTGTTTTTTAATTGATTTTTTAGATCTATATGATCATTTTAAGCCTAACTTTATGGTAATTGAATAAGACTAAGACTGTGCTCAAGATTTTTGGACCCTGAGGTTTGACCCGGTTTATTAATGAAATTCTACCATCATCTCAATTGCCTACTGGAGACCAAGTTCTGCAATATTTACATGGCAAACTATTCAAAGCAAGAAAAGAAAATTTAAAATATAGACTCTGTGATATGGTTTCTTGTAAATTTCCACATGGGAGTTTTGAAATTGGTTGCAATAACCCTGGAGGGTGTAATTTTCTTAAAAGCACATGTGTTGTTTCGTCAATCCCAATAGTAGTATATATAATATATATATAATAATAATAGTAGTAATAAAGTGCAATCCCAATAGTAGCTGACCAACATATTAGGTAAATAATAATTATATACACAGTATTTATTTCTTTAAAACTAAAATTACAAAACTAAAACTAAAAGAATCTTACTGTAAGAATAAAATGTTGTTTTCTTTATATAGAAGTAAGATAATGTGCTTGGAAGATCATAGAAAGAAACTATTAAAGAACATATTATGTGACACACCACACAATTTAAGAAAAATAGACACCTACAAACTTGAAATAAAGCGCTTATTTGATATTAGTGTGAATGATGCACAGCAAAAAATTCTATCAAACAAGCAAGTCACTAAAAATGAAAGAAATATTGATATAAACTTTTTGAATGATCAACGAGGAGAACGTAAAGCTGTGATGGGTGGAATAGACAAGAACTACTTATTTGCTGGTTTTAGAAAGCAAAAGGGGATTGAATTTACCAATAAGAAAATGACTACTTCAAATAGTAACAGATTAGCTTCTGAATTTATAACCAATTTAACTTTAAATCAGGTTAGAAATAGCAGTGTAGAAGCACAGTACAAAGAGGATAATCAAGATTTTGAATATCAAAAGGAATGCAAACCAAGATCTCATAAAAAAAAACCAGATTTTATTGAAGTTATGCTACCTAGAAAAATCTTGAAGGCCACTGTTGTTACAGCAAAGAGATACGGTGTTCAGAGTTCAGCGCATACCGCTACATTGGCTAATGTTATCAACTCAGCAGGTGGAAATCTAAAGGACTTTGATATTTCTGTTACGTCAGCAAAGGTTCATTCAAGTGCTGTAATTAGTGAATATGGTTTAAAAATTAAAGATTTTATTGTAAAAGCCAAGGGAAAACTTCTTTGTGTTCATTTTGACACAAAAATAGTAAAAGAGTATTTTTATGGTGTGAATATAAATGTTGAGCAGTTAGCACTAGTGATTTAAAGTCCTAGTATCGATAAAGAACAACTTATTGGAGTTCTTTCTATTCCAGATAATCGTGGAATAACACAAGCAAAAGCAATTAAGGAAATACTGGAATCTTGGAATCTCTGGGATTAGGTACATAGTGTATGTTTTGACACATCTTCAAATACAGGTGAGAAAAATAAACTCAAAAAAATAATAAAGACATATTATGACATTTTGTATTATGACATTTTTGTGTTTTCATAACTTTTATTAAAAAAATTTCACATTGAGTAAATGAATTAAATTAAGGCTGGATGCAGGGTGCCTGTGTATTGCTAGAAAAATGGATGAACAGACCATTACTATGGTTTGCCTGCAGACATCACATATACGAGCTTCATATTAAGGTTAGAAATAGAACTATTAAATAACTTTATTCTTGGTTTACTCATATAGCCTTTTCCTAATTTCATTTGTCATTATCTAGCATGCAGCACTTGCAGTTTCTGGGAATATGTCTGATGGAACAGTTGATAATCTTTTCAAAGGCTTAAAAACCAAAATATTTTGGTTTTTAAGCCTTTGAAAAAATATAATGCAAATAAGTTTATTATATTTTAAAATTTTTTAGAAAAAAAAAAAATGCAATTCTCCTTACCTGTTCTTCTAAAAATGTTCCCTTTTTCTTGCTCCAATCAAAACTGCTAAGGTTATTCAAATTTATGTCAGGCTTAATAGTTTCCCAAAAATTTTGTTTTTAACTTGCATCTATTCTGTTTCTATTACAGATAAATTTAGCTCTCTAATGTTATTGTCAAGTGTTTTGTTGCAAAGAGCAAACACAACATTTTGTTCTGTAAGAAACCATAAGTGATTTTTAATACCTTTAATAGCAGCAGTTGACAGTTTTTTAAATGATCCATACTTGATCCCTGATTGCACATAAATCTAAACAAGGAGAAGAAACTGCCAATGGTGCTTTCAGAAACCATCTTGCATGAAATAGCAAGATGGTTTCTGAAAGCACCATTGGCAGTTTCTTCTCCTTGTTTAGATTTATGTGCAATCAGGGATCAAGTATGGATCATTTAAAAAACTGTCAACTGCTGCTATTAAAGGTATTAAAAATCACTTATGGTTTCTTACAGAACAAAATGTTGTGTTTGCTCTTTGCAACAAAACACTTGACAATAACATTAGAGAGCTAAATTTATCTGTAATAAAAACAGAATAGATGCAAGTTAGCTCCAAGTAAATATTTCTCATAAATTATTTCTTATGTTATTTTTTGGCATTTAAAATATTTATATATAACTATTTTATTTTAGAGATTGGAATAATTTCTCAGAATATCGAGTTCTGAAAACATTCATAGAAAAATTAACAGTAGTAAATAATTGTGCTGAGAGAGGAGTAATGCTCGTCCAAGACATTACACACGTGTCAGAATGAGGAGTTAAAGCAATTTTTAATGATTTCAATTTCAAATCACAGACAAAATTTTTCAGTCAATTTCAAAAAGGATTTGTCTGAAATTCTTTAACATGAAATTCTTACATGATATTTAATAATCACATGTTTATGTGATTATTAAATATCAAAATATATATCAAAATATGTTATTTCATATATTTATGTCAGGTTTATTTATAAAATATTTTATTTATATAAATAAAAATTGTAATTTTTACTAATAAATATGGACAAAATAAGCTTTCTAAATATGTATATGTGCATAATTATACTTAAGATAATCCGAAAAGTTATTATAGTAGTATATTTCTTCTACTGTCGATAGCTAAGTATTACATGGAAACCGGGTTTTTTGGAGAAACCAGGTAAAAATTTTCAGATTTAAATCTAACAAAACAATGCTCCAAGCCTTTCTAATAGCCTCTAAATTATGGTTTAAATTAACCACATATATATTATCTTTCCCTTTTTTTTTTTTTTTTTTTTTTTTTGTAACTAAGATGTTTAACTTATCATAATATGACTTTTTGAGGTAAAATTTCGATCTTTGAGCCCGTTGAGTAGGGTCAAATTTTTTGCAAATGAGTCAAATTTTGTTTTTTATTGATCACAGAGTACACCCGCACCACATGGAAAACAGTGCCTTTTGATTTTCGAAAATGAGGGGCGTTATATATATATATATATATATATATATATATATATATATATATATATATATATATATATATATATATATATATATATACATATATATATATATATATATATATATATATATATATATATATATTATTAAGGTTGAGTGGTTAACATTAAGACAAAACAGTCAATTTTTTTTTGATGGTCAAAGAAACTTAGCTTTATTAGGAGAAAAATTATTTTAAACATTGCTTTGTTATAAAATATATAAAATAAACAATGTTTACAGCATTAAAAAGTGAAGGACATTATATATATATATATATATATATATATATATATATATATATATATATATATATATATATATATATATATATATATATATATATATATATATATATACTACTACCCTAAAGCTGATTGGGATTCCTTTCGTGATTTTCTTCGTGATGGTCCTTGGGCTGATGTTTTTTCTCTCTCAGCTGACAAATGCGCCTCCTACGTAACCTCCTGGATTCAGGCTGGAATGGAAGCTTTTATTCCTTCGCGTCGGTTTCAAGTCAAGCCTCACTCTACTCCATGGTTTTCTCCTTCTTGTGCGGCTGCTATATCCAATCGTAACCATTTTTTTCATCTTTTTCAAAAGAATAACTCTCTTGAGAACAAACGGCTATTTATTATTGCAAGAAATCGATGTAAAAAGGTGCTTTCTGATGCTAAACTCCATTATTCTCAGTTCACTAAATCTCGCATCTTATCGCAGAAGTTAGGCTCTAAAGACTTTTGGAAAATCTTCAACAGCATTGTTAACAAGGGTAGATCTAACATTCCATCTCTCATTCATGGGACTGATCTTGTTACCTCTCCCAGGGATAAGGCAGAACTGTTTGCAAAGAACTTTTCTTCTAATTCCACCTTGAATCTTATAGACATTCTCTTCCTTCCATTCCAGTCAAACAGGTTGACCCATTGTTAGACATTCAAATCACTCCGGCTTCTGTTGCTAAAGTCATATCTCAATTAAACTCGTCTACAGCTTGTGGTCCAGACAACATTCCTGTCACAGTCTTGCAGAATTGTTCTCCTGAACTTTCTTCAATTCTCTCTAAACTATTTAACAAGTGTTTGACTGAGTCTTGTTTTCCTGCTTGTTGGAAAATGGCATCTGTGGTTCCAATATTCAAAAACTCTGGAGAAAATTCTGACCCCTCCAACTATCGTCCGATCAGTCTTCTTTCTGTTATTAGCAAGGTCTTTGAGTCTTTGATCAACAAATTCCTCACATCTCATCTTGAGTCAAATAAACTGCTGTCAGACAATCAATACGGTTTTCGATCCTCTCGCTCTACGGCCGACTTGCTAACTGCTGTAACTGAAAGATTTTATCGTGCATTAGATGGAGGCGGTGAGGCTAGGGCTATTGCTCTCGACATATCTAAAGCTTTCGACAAAGTTTGGCATGCTGGTCTTCTCCATAAGCTTGCTTCATATGGTGTTTCTGGGAAAGTTTTTGAGATTATTAAATCATTTCTTCCTGACCGGTTTATTAAAGTCATCCTTGAAGGCCAACACTCTTCTTTATTTCCAGTAACTTCTGGGGTTCCCCAAGGTTCCATCCTGGGCCCTGTTTTGTTTCTTATCTACATAAACGATCTTACTGACAACCTTTCATCTAAAGTAGCTTTTTTTGCTGATGACTCAACTTTATACTCCTGCCTTGACAAAAAGTCTTCTCTTTTCGATCGCCTAGAACAAGCAGCTGATCTTGAATCTGATCTCACTTCGGTGGTAGATTGAGGTTCACAGTGGCTTGTGAGTTTCAACTCTAAAAAAACCCAATTGCTTACTGCAAACAACTACCGTAATATGGTCAACATTCCTGTATTAATGAATGGCAATCCTCTTACTGAGTCGTCCTCTTTACGTCTTCTTGGATTATCGCTTACTACTGACCTTTCATGGAAACCATATATACAATCGATTGCTAAATTAGCTTCTGCTAAGGTTGCTTCTCTTTATCGTGCTCGCTATTTCCTTACTTCTGATTCCATTCTCTACCTCTACAAATCTCTTATTCGTCCCTGTATGGAATACTGTTGTCATATTTGGGCTGGTTCTTCTAACGATTCACTTTCTCTTCTTGACAAGGTCCAAAAACGCATTGTAAATGTTGTTGGACCTGGACTATCTGCTAAGCTTGAACCTCTTTCCCATCGTCATAAAGTTGCATCTCTTTCTCTTTTCTACAGATACTATCATGGTCACTGCTCAAAGGAGTTATCATCTCTAGTTCCATCAACTAAAATTGATTCTCATTTTACTCGTCATTCAGCTAAGTCTCATTCGTTTACTGTATCTGTCCCTGCATGCTCTAAAAACTTTTATTCATCTAGTTTTTTTCCCCGCACTTCAATCCTTTGGAACTCTCTCCCATCTTCATGTTTTCCTGACTCATACAACCTTCAACTTTTCAAGTCTTCTGTCAACCGTTTCCTTGCTCTATAACTCTGTTCTTTTTTTTTTTCCTAGTAACTCCCAACTTAATAGTGGTTGCTTGCAGCCTTGTTGGGAGTGAATGCAAATAAAAAAATAAAAAAAAAAAATATATATATATATATATATATATATATATATATATATATATATATACATATATGTATATATATATATATATATATATATTTATATATATATATGTATATATATATATATATATGTATACATATATATATATATATATATATATATATATATATATATATATATATATATATATATATATATATATATATATAATGTCCTTCACTTCAATAGTATAAATATATATATATATATATATATAATGTCCTTCACTTTTTAATGCTGTAAACATTGTTTATTTTATATATTTTATAACAAAGCAATGTTTATATTTGTACTTGCTCCGATTTAATGTCATTTCCACAATAAATAGCTACTCCCCCTCCAATTTTAATGCGATACTTACAATAGATTGAGTAATCTTTCGGACAAACAATAGAGTCAGATATTTTACTGGTGAAAAATGTTTTGCAAACGCAAATTATGGCAGGTTTATTTGCCTCCGTAAACATAAAAAATTCGTGCAGCTTATTTGCAAGGCTTCTAGTATTTAAAAAATATACAGAATTTTTTAAATAAGGATTCAAAGAGCACACATTATTCCTATTGCCGTTTATTAAATTTAAATTGATTAAAAATATATAAATAGTATAAATATATATATATATATATATATATATATATATATATATATATATATATATATATATATATATATATATATATATATATATTTTAGTATTTGATATTATTACTATTACGCTTTAAAATTAAAAATACTTTTTTGTTGAAAAATACACAGTTAAAATAAAAATTTCGAAAAAGATCTTTGACTTCATTTTAAAATCTAGTCATTCATATAAATTCTATTTAAATTCAAACTGACTTGGTGAAAACGATAAATAATGATACAAGAATGAAAGATAAATTTATAAATAACTACCTGTGAGTAGCTTCAATAGACTTTGTAAAACAAAGTATACGCTTATATTTTAATTTCAACATTAAATGAACTATCACTAAAGGCTTTAGTTCTTCTTTTACGATAACCATTTTTTCAACAAGTTGTTCAGGTACAATAAAACGGAATTCTATTAATTATTAAAAGCAATTTATAAAACTTTATAAAACTGTTTATTGCAACAACAACAAAAAAAACTACAACCAAAAAAATTACAAAAAATTTTAGAAAATAATAATTAGAAAAATATGACACTAAAACATAATTGCAGAAAAAATAATACATAAGAAAAAAACAAAAAAAATTACAACAAAAATAATTGCATTTAAATAAACAGGAAAACAAAAAAAAACAAAAAAAAACAAAAAAAAAAAATTAAAAAAACATAATATAATCAAAGTAAGAAAAATAATGACGATGAAAAATAAATTCATACGAACTTATTAATTCATTTAAATACCTGATTTGTTTTCTGTAGATCCATCTTTTTTAGTCTTTTCATTATCACGTTTTGAAATAAATAATATAGGGTTGTATAATCGTAAAGGTGCTAGTTTCTCTGGATTTTGAGTGAGTGTTGCAGAAAAAAGTAATTTTTGAAGCGGAATAATATTTTTCTGGAATGTTCGCACTGTTAAAGGATGGGGAAATTTTCGATAGCTAGATTATTCAAAATGTAAAAAACATTCACAACTTTTTACAAGAAGCTGTGCTACAAATATGAAATAATAAGTAATAATAATAAAAAAAAAACCTCAACGATTGCGCACTTTCAAGCACAAGCTCTAACCATCCACTGTAATCTTGACTCAGTAGCCTGTCTGCTTCATCAATTACTAAAAACCTAAGATGTTTCAATGAAAACCCAGATGTAGTTTTTAAATGGTCAACCAATCGACCAGGTGTGGCAACTAGGATTTCAACCATGTTCTTATAACCTTGAGGGCTGAAAAATAACATCAATTTTTCAAACGAGAAACTTTATTTTATACTTTTATTAGACAAATAAACACACTACCCTTTACAGACAAGTTTTGATCGTTCTTTTTCTAATGTTTTTACGCCACAAATCAATCCAACTTTAATGTTTGTTCCCTTTAAGTAAGATGAAAAAACTTGCTTAACTTGAATGGCTAAATCTTTCGAAGGCAAAACAACCAGGCAATACAATTCTTTTACTATGTATTGTGTAAGACTCTCAATCACTGGCAAAACATAACTAAGAGTTTTACCGCTACCTGTAGGTGCCTCAACACAAATATCTCTTGGTGGAAAGTTCAGCATTTTAGTTTGTGAATGCATGTAAGTAATAACTGCTGTTTGTACAGGAAATAAGTGTTCAATACCTGAACTTTTTAAATTATTTATAGTGTTTTTAGTTATGTAATCAAGTGAATCGACTATTGATTCATTTTCTTTATCGATGTTAGCAGATATACTCACAGGTTCTGCAAGCCACCGCGGTAATGCTCTCTTGAGAGGAACTAACTTTACATGCTTTTGCTTTCCAAGTACTGGAAAGATACTTTGATCTGATATTCCCATATGTTCAGGATCAGGATTTTTTTTTTCATCATTTCTTTCTATAGAAGTAACGTTTTTTTCATTTAACTGAACAAAATCATTTTCTTCAATAGAAGAGATATCAACTTGAATGGAATCTAGATTAGGAGTGGTTTCTTCTTGCACCCCATCATCTTCTCCACACATAAAATTGTCTTTTAAAATATCATTTTTTTGGGAAAATAAGATTTTTTCTTCCTCCAAACTGTTTCTTTTTTTTCTTTTCTTTTTTATTAAGGAGATGTTATCAGGATTGTTACTTTTGTTTTCTACATTCTGAATTTTTGATTCTTCTATATTTTCTTTTTTATTCTTTAACTTGATTTTTTCTTGTTTGTTACCAACACTAGATAATCTTTTTCTACGTTCCTCAATTTTTGCTTTCAATGCAGCTAACTGTTCGTCAGGAGAGCAGTTCTAAAATTTAAATTCTTTATTAAATGTTTTTATTATATGTTTTATATGAAATAATTATAAAATTGCAATATAAAATAAAATTTAAGAAATATTTAAATCTGAAAACATAGACTTGTATTTATAGGTAATGTTATTTTTTTAACAAATAAGCTATTAAGGCGCTCCAAGAAGATCTACCAATTTTATTACAGAGCACCACGGAGGAGCATTTAATTTTAGTTCAGCTCTTTCCTTATCAATGTCCTTTATTGGGCTAGAGACAACATCGAATCACAAACCTCTTGGTTCTGCGCCAGAACTCTAACCACTGTGCCATGTTTATGTTTGATCAAGTACAGTTTAAATAAATTTTTTTTGAGATAATCAAATTGAAAAATGCCATTTTTTATTTAAGTAAACAAACTTCAATTAAAACTATAAATTTATCTCAAATAATACAAAACTTTTGATAACATAAATATATAGATAAAATAGGGGGAAAAAATGATACCTCTTCTGCACCATATCTTTTAATCTTAAATAGATCCATTTGATTGAAATTTTTTGAGTTTAACAAGTTGGCTTCATTTCACTTCGAGCTTTATTTCATTTATAGACTTTATTTCAATTGAAAAAATTAAAATTAAAATACTAAATATGACAAAAAATTAAAATTAAAATACAGAATATATCTTCTTGAAAATATTGATCCTAATGATTGAGAAGGATTTTGCTGCATTTAGTAATGACAATTATATAACAAATTAACAGTATAACAAAATAAAATCATTAAAAAAGAATTTTTTCATACATTAGTTAGTTATCAATCATAAGTTTATCATTTTATAAAATAATTTTGCTTGGCAGCTCATGGATTAAGTTAACCAAATTCACAACTAAAAAAGTTAAAAAAGTATCAAACAGGTAGCAAATTTGTTTTAGAATACTAATATAAAAAAAAAAAATTAAAAAAAAAGTAAGTTAAAAAATTAAAATATTATAGCAGTTGCTACTGTAAGTTAAAAAATTAAAAGAATAATTCAAAAAAATGTTTTATCTTTAGGATATGATTTAAAATATACTATAAAAGAAGATATAATGACACAACATATAACATACACAGTAGTAACTCTACTAGAAAGAAGATATAAATGACACAACATATCACGTATACAGTAATAAATCTACTAGAAAAGAAGATATAAATGACACAACATATAAAATACACAATCTTTATTCTTATCTAAAAAATTTTTATTGCTGAAAAGAAACATAAATCTTGCTTTTTTTTTCTTCATAAAAACTAAAACACAAAAAACTTTAAATTAAAATGAAACTTTTTGTTTTTATGCACTCAGGTCTCTAATATTATTTTTTGCATTAGATTACATAACTTTTGTTTATATTATTAAAAGTTTATGTCATTACTTTTGTAAAAAAAATTTTTGTTGGTATTCTAATATTAATTTTTGTCTTGGATTGAAAACAAACAGAAAAAAACAACTTAAAAATAACTAAATAACACTTTATTCTCACTTAACCAATTATTTCACAATTTATTCTTGCTTAACCAAGCAATAAAGTTTACAAAAAATAACCTAAAAAAAAAACTTAAAACTTGATTAATTAAGCATAACATAATTTTGATTTGAGGTATTTATGACTGATTTGACAAACCCTTGACTGCAAACAGAATTGACAGCATCACATTATTTATTTTGAGATATTTATCTCTTTATTGCAAACAGAATTAAAAATGAATAAAGATGTGCAAATTTAAGGAGGTGCTAAGATGTGCAAAAGAAATGTGAAAAACTGTGACTTCCACAGTTAAAAAAAACATAAACTTGAGTTTAAAATGTTCAAACTCCTTAGAGTTTAAGAAGTTAATTTGAATACAAATTAAAAAACACAAATATTGAATTTTCATCATTGTTGAAATAAGTTTACAAAGAGAAAAATAATTAAAGAATATATTATATTTCAATCTACAAAATAGTTGAATTTAAATGTCAAAAAAATAAAATATTGTAAACAATTAAAAGTTTATTTGTATTTATTTATTTATGTACAATTTAATTAAGAACAATTTTATTAATATTTTAAGTAAATCTTAATAAATAACATAATGAGTTATTTGATATTTATTAACCATTTTTTAAATTATTTGCATACTACATTAAACCTATCTGCTCCAGTGCTTGCTTAATCTCACTATCCTGAAAAAAGATAATATTTGAACTGAAATAATGTTTTTAAAAAGTTAAATTTTTACTATATCTTTAATTTTATTTATGTGTAAATAAAAATTAACATATAACAAAAATTTATTTAGATTCTATAGAATTGTAAAAAAGAAAAATAGTAAAACCTCTTGTAAAGAATCTTGAAATTGAATGGCACTTAAGACTCTCTTCTTGCTTGTTTCCTGTATTTCTCCTCCCAATATAAGTTCGTCAAGCATGTAGTAAGCCTAAAGATGTATACATTATTATATATTTGTATGTGTTCTTGGATTTATAACAAATTAAAAAATATATTTGATTTGAATTAATTTAATCATAACTTTTATAGCAGCAGCAGCAGGCTATTTCAGTATGACATCAGATTGCTTACCTTCGTACGCAATACTATTTGTATATATATATATATATATATATATATATATATATATATATATATATATATATATATATATATATATATGTATATGTATATATATATATATATATATACATATCTACTATAGCATATTTATATGTGCAATTGCTCACTTTATTTGCTAGTCTAAATTAAGTGAGCGTTTTGAGAAAACGATGAGGGAAAATGAAGATTAATGAATGAAAAGGTTGCTGACCCATACCAAACCCTCAGTCGATGTAGTACCACTCCACTGCGAGTCAGGCTATTTGTCAGTCGATGTATGTACTGAAGCTCCCGCAGCAGGCTATTTCAGTATGATGTCATCATGCTCACCTAACTCAGCAGTATAAGATATATCTATATCTATCTATATCTATATATTTCTATCTATATCTATCTATCTATCTACCTATCTATCTATATCTATATATTTCTATCTATATCTATCTATCTATCTATCTATCTACCTACCTATCTATCTATCTATATCTATATATTTCTATCTATATCTATCTATCTATTTATCTATCTATCTATCTATCTATCTATACATATATATATATATATATATATATATATATATATATATATATATATATATATATATATATATATATATATATATATATATATATATATGTATATATATATATGTATATATATCTATATATATATATGAATATATATCTATATCTATATCTATATATCTATATCTATATATATATCTATATCTATCTATCCAGAGGTGAAAAAATTGTACTCAAGTAAAAGTACTGTTACTTGAGTGAAATTTTACTCAAGTACAAGTAAAAGTTACCGGTCGATAAGTTTACTCAAGTAAAAGTAAAAAGTAGTAAAAATGTACTCAGAGTATAAGTTACTTTTACTCTGAGTATGATTTCAAATGTAGCGAAGTACTTTAGAAAAAAAGTAAAAGTAAGAGCACACATTTAAAAAAATACTCAAAAAGTAGAAATTCTCAAAATAACCACCTCTGTATCTATCTATCTATCTTTATATATATATATATATATATATATATATATATATATATATATATATATATATATATATATATATATATATATATATATATATATATATATATATATATATATATATATATATATATATATATATATATATATATATATATATATATATATATATAGTTGCAAGTTTTTTGTACTAAATAGATATACAAAGCCTCTTGTATGTGCTTTTAGAATGATCAATATAATGTAAATTAATTATTTAAAAAATAGATCATCAATTATATATAAAAATTTAACTAAATGAAAAAATAAAACTTTATGATGGAACTTAAAAGTTTCGTGCCATTTAGGCAATCATCAGCCATATATTTTTTAATAAAAAAAAAATGTTAAAAATACAAAATACAAAAACAAAAATAGAATGGATTCTGATGTCAAAACTAAACAAAAAGTAACATAGAATCTGGATTAATCACCAGTAATTACATTACACATTAGTAAAAAGAATGGAAGAGGAGAATGGAAAGCGTTTTTCTTTATTAATAAAGATCAAAAAAGTAAGAGTAATATTTTTTATAATAGTTTAAAAACAGCAAATTACCATAAACAAATTACTGATATGTTCCCATTTGAAAGTGATCTAATAGAAATGATAAGAAATATTAGGTTTTGTAAAGTTTATAGCAGTTTCCAAAGAAAATTAAAAGATGACATATCTAATATACGCAATTGTAATCTTACTTATACTTTTGCCGATAAAAGTACTAATTTATATAAATTATCTAAAGAAAGCTATAACCTTTTATTAACCGATGCAATAACCTCAAAGTACAAAAAATCAGACTCAAAGATTAAAAATGATATAAATAAAAAAGGTAAGCGTATTTTACAGAATCATGAAGTTTTTAATAAAATAGACATTAACTCATCATCCAACTGCTTTATAACATTAAAAGATCACAAAGAAAATTTTATAAAGAACCCAACAGTTCGGTTAATAAACCCTGCACAAAATGAAATCAGCAGAATTAGTAAGACCATAATATCTAATATAACTTCTGAACTTGTGAACATCTAAATTAGTGGAAAAAAGATGTTATAACCTAGTTTAGGTTCATTAATGATACGCATTGTTATAAATTTCTTACTTTTCATATTGTCGATTTTTACCCATCCATAAATGAAAAACTTCTAAATAACGCTATTAGTTTTGCTGAGCAACATCTGGGTATTGATCCTGAGAATAAGTCATTAATTCAACACGCAAGAAATTCACTTCTTTTTAATAACGAACAAGTATGGATAAAGAAATCAGAGGGATTATTTGATGTGTCATGGGAGCCTTTGACGGTGCTGAGGTATGCGAACTTGTAGGAATTTTTCTTTTGTTTCAGATTTTGCAATTTTACAATAAAATTGAATTTGGATTATACCAAGACGATCGTTTAACTGTTTTTGAAAATAAAAGTGGACCTGAAATGGAAAAAATTAAAAAACATATTGTCGATATATTTAAACAAGACCATCTTCTTATATCAACACAGTGCAACATGAAAATTGTAAATTATCTAGACACCATGCTAAATCTCAATAACCACACTTTCAAACCATATTCCAAACCCAGAAACTCTTTAAACTATATTCATGTTGATTCACACCATCCACAATGAAATGCTACTAAAACAACTACCTATGTTACATAAATTTTTTCTTGTAATACATAAATTAACCTAATGCATAACATAAATGATCCTCTCGCTCTACGGCTGACTTGCTAACTGCTGTGACTGAAAGATTTTATTGTACATTTGATGGATTTGGAGAGTTTAGAGCTATTGCTCTTGACATATCTAAAGCCTTCAACAAAGTTTAGCATGCTAGTCAACTCAATAAGCTTGCTTCAAATGGTGTTTCTGGAAAGTTTTTGAGATTATCAAATTATTTCTAAATGCTTCATTAAAGTTATCCTTAAAGACTAACACTTTTCTTCATTTCCAGTAACTTTTAGTTGGTACCTCAAGGTTAGAAATCCTTAGTCCTGTTTTTGTCATCTACATTAATGATCTTCTGACAGTCTTACATAAAAAAGAGCTCTTTTTTATATAAGATGCATTTTGCTGATGACTCAGCTTTATATTCCAGCTTTTTGTTTTGAAAAAAAGTCTTCTCTTTGATCGCTTAGAAGCTGATCTTGAATCTGATCTCACTTCTGTAACAGATTAAAGCTTGCAATATCTTGTGAATTTTAACTCCAACAAAATTCAGCTATTTACTGCAAACAACTATCGCAATACTCTTGACATTCCTATATTAATGAATGACAACCCTCTCACTGCGTCCTCTTCTAAACATCTTCATGGATTATAATTTACTACTGACCTCTAATGAAAACCATATAAATAATCAAATCCTAAATTAGCATCTGCTATGATTGCTTCTCTTTATAGAGATCACCATTTTCTTACTCCTGATTGCATTCTCTACATTTACTAATCTCTTATTTGAACCTGTATGGAATACTGTTGTAATATTTGGGCTGGTTCTTATAATGATACCCCTCCTCTTCTAAACAAAGTCCAAAAAGGCATTGCAAATGTAATTGGACCCACTCTATCCACAGAACATGAGCTTTTCTTTTTTACAAATGCTATCATGGTCGCTGCTCAAAGGAGCTATAATCTCTTGTTCCATCAACTAAAACTCATTCATGCTTTACTTATCATTCAGCAAAGTCTCATTCTTTTATTGTATCTATCCCTGCATGCTCTAAAAACTTTTATTCATCTAGTTTTTTCCCCTGCACTTCAACCCTTTGGATCTCTCTCCCATCATCAATATGCAAATGCCCAAATGATATTTTGAAATTATTTTAAAAATAATTAATTTATTGCAATGTTTTTGCAAGCTACGAGAAAAATAAATGAAAAGATGGAATTAAAAAAAAACAAAAAATAAAGTACAGTTGGAAGAGGAAATATTCTTAGTGACATACAACAATTTCAAAAAATAATAAAATAAAAACATCAAACTTTAAAATTAACTACTTTAAAAAAGGAAAATGATTTTATACCTCCGCTCATTAAAATCATTTAAAAAACTGCTAATATTAGTTATGCAGAAAACTCTTGTGTACAGGTTTTAAACTGAATACTTAATACTAAAAATCATTTCATGAAACACTACTTTAAAAATTACTACTTTAAAGATGAAAAAACATTACAAAAACATTCAATTACATGACGCTGACCACAATAGGTCAACGAAATATTGTTAATATATTATTATATCAAAATATATTTAAAAAAGAGTTATACGCTGCCTTTTTTATTGAAATTAATTTATATATTTATAAACATATCGTATAACAAGTAACAACTTTTAAAGACTAAATATATATATATATATATATATATATATATATATATATATATATATATATATATATATATATATATATATATATATATATATATACATACATACAGGGAAAGTGGGGGTATAACCATCTCAGTAACATTTGAATTAATGTTATATGAAAATAAAAGCGAAATGTGCCTTTTTAACAGTTTATTTAAATAACCACATTATTAAGCTTCAAATTTCTGCAATGAGGAAAAAAATTAAAAACACCTAGTGGAAAAAACCCCTTGTTGCCCCCTATTGTGAGGCACAACCGCACTCTCCCAAAAATTGTTGAAGGTACTCTTTTTATGGTACACTTTTTTTAAATTAAGAAATACACAACTATATACCTACAATATATAATAATATAATAATCATTAGATATTCATAAATATAACAAAATATTGATTATTATTCTTAGCTTTATATATTAATCAAAAACTCATTTATAAAAATTAAATAAAAAAATACCAAATCTAATTTTCAACATCTTGAAACAAAACTATTTCTATTCAAGTTTTTACATGAACGCATTTAAGTGTGACAATTCCATATGTTGTTATTCGTAATTACCTAACTTTGATAAATATCAAAAGTATCAGATTGTGTCTCCTGTGTGTCTATGCAGTTCTGCCCCAGAAGAGAGTTTTTAGAAAGAAGACAGTTTCATAGCTTACTTATTAGGTTATGTTAATATCAAAAATAGTTTTCACTTGATGAAATAACTCTGATAACACTAAAATAAAATATTGCTTAATCCCCCCAAAAAAAAATGTATGGAAAGATATGATGTAAATATAATACTTTCATCAAGAAAAAACATTTGTGCCTCCATATGCCATTATGCCCTCTATATATATATATATATATATATATATATATATATATATATATATATATATATATATATATATATATATATATATATATATATATATATATATATATATATATATATATATATATATATATATATATATACATATATATATATATATATATATATATATATATATATATATATATATATATATATATATATATATATATATATATATACATATATATAAATAAATTCATAAGATTTGAACAGAAATGATGCTATTGCAAGGTAACAACTTCAGCAGACTTCATCAAAGTTTAACAAAAACTGGTCTAACAGACATCAACAAAAAACTTGCCAACCCCTAAGAACAATAACGCTTGTTTACCTAAAGCCTTGGATGACACTGTTTGTTTAAAGGCTCTTTAAATTTTTTTCTCTGGGCACTACCACGAGTGGAAAATATTACCAAATCGAGTCAGTAAACTAATTATCAAAAGTAAACAAATCAATAACAGGTAATTCCCAGTGTTTGAATTGATAAGAAATAACCTAACCTCTCACTTATTACTCCCATTTTTACTCTCAATAGTATTTTCAACCAACTCAGAAAACTAAAGACCTAATGATCTTTCTCTGCTTTTACTCAAATCTGCTCATTGTAAAACCTATCACTCTGTAGACTACTTAATGGCCTCATAGAAAACAGTTCCTAACTGACCAATGGAAATCAGCATGTAATCATCAGTATGTAAAGTTTTTAAACAATTTATCACCTGCCTCTGTAGACTACTTAATGGCCTCATAGGAAATGGAAATCAGCAAATATAAACTGAACAATGGAAATCAGCAAACATAACACTAGTTCCTAAAATATTTAACACGCTCTCATCTAATGACTACTATCCAATTATTATCATATCTACATTATGTAAGGTTTTTAAATAATTTATTACCAATAGTATTGCCTATCACATCAAGTACATATGGGTCTCATACAAACAATTTGGTTTCAATTCAGGACGTAGTACAATGGATACTATCATTCAAATTATAGAGGACTGGAGTCATGCTAAAGATAAGAATGAATTAACTATTACAAAAGCATTTGATCTTGTCATTCGTGATGAATTACTGCTAAAGTTAATGAATATTCTACCTAGCTGGCTCACTTCCTGTATTGCAGCTTACTTATCTAACCAAAGCCAAAGAACTAAAACAGCCAAAGAACTAAAACAAATTGACGACATCCTGACATCTAATCTATGATAAAGTTTCTACCAACATATCTCAATTCATTGTTGATGGTCTTGCATTATGGTCTGTGGTCAACTGAATGCACATAATAAAAAAATAAATTATGTTTGGTTATATATATATATATATATATTTTTGACGATATTAATCTTATCTTTACACAGACAGCTATGTAAACTTTTTGTGATTTTTTATAAACTATGCTATGAAAAAATTTAATAATAAAAGAAGGTTTTTTTAACTAAGCTAATGATTGACATAAATGGAAAAGAAATTATTGACCATCTTAACATAAAAGAGATTTACCATCATCAAAATAAAAATTCTAAAATTTAGATCCATTAAGAATCCTTTTCTTATCCAGTGAAGAATCTTTTTCTTACCCAAAGAAGAATCCCTTTCTTCTTTTTTGAGGATTTGGGTAGGAAGTATCTATATATAAACAAAATCACCAAAAAAAAAATTATATTATATTTTCTTGCTCATCTAAAAAAGTGTCTGAATTTTATTGTGAACATTATTATTAATCATTAGTAAATAATATACATGATGATAAAAACCTCCAACAGCAGGCATATTTATATATGCAGTAATAGACACACACACACAATATAAATGTACCTTTTCAAAATTGAAAATAATGTCCAACTCACAAACCTAAAAACACAAAAAAAATTTTTTACTAAAACAAAACATTCTAAAACATAAATAACCTCAAAATGTTTTTTTAAAAAAAAAATAAAATAAAAGCATTTTAATCTATTAATTTGCATTATGTGGTTTTTTTAGAAAATAGCAAAATTTAATTAGTTTCCTTAATTTAATTAAATGGTTAAGAGCTGTTTTTTTCCACCAACGGTAAAAATAGATGTCAAACTATAGGAATACATATATAGGCTTAAACAAAAATGGTGCATGATTACACACTGTAACTGATCACGCTTATAATTTTTTTCTTTACAATATGACCACTGAGGTTTAGATGTTTTAACAATTTAGATGCTTAAAAAAATTATTACTTTATGAACAACTTTTATCGTTGATCAGGGTTGCATGGTTTTAACCAAATGGTTTAAACCAATAAAAAAATGTTGGTTTAAACCAAACTAAAAATAGTTTTTTTTGAAAAGATTTGAACTTACAACAGGAAACTAAAACAGGGTTATGTTCACAAATATAACTAATCTTCAGTATAGATATTTTTTTTTAAATCCATGACTTTTGTTTTTGTTTTTACATAGAATAGAGTCATCAGTGTTCTTATAGAACAGAGCAGTAATAACTTAGTAATAACACTTAATTTATCTGTTTTCTCCTACAGGTTGTTTCTCCTTAAATAATTTTATCAAGAAGCTTCCTGATGAAGTTTTTTCAACTCTCTCTCTCTCTCTCACTCTCTCTATCTATCTATCTATCTATCTATCTATCTATCTATCTATCTATCTATCTATCTATATATATATATATATATATATATATATATATATATATATATATATATATATATATATATATATACATATATATATACATATATATATATATATATATATATATATATATATATATATATATATATATATATATATATATATATATATTTATATTTATATATATATATATGTATATATATATATATGTATATATATATATATATATATATATATATATATATATATATATATATATATATATATATATATATATATACAGATTTATATGTTTAGCAAAAGTATAAGTAGTTCAAACATAATTAATTGATACCACAAAAATGTCTCCAAAAAATGGGCACAAATGTGATATGATTTGGTTGAAATATACACAAGTGATTGTTCCAGAAAGAAAGGGGTGTAGAGCAGTTTGTAATGCATGTAGAAAAGAAATGGAAGGTCAAATTCAAAGGATGCATGAACATATAAAAAAGTGCAAGCAATCACAACTCCATGAAATTATGGAGTCAATTGAAGATCAACAACTTCTTGAAGGTAATTAAATTACTACATTGTCATTTAAAATTTTATACTTTGCCTAAACTGTAAATATATATATTTAAATTACTACCATGTATAGATATTAACTTAGAATAATTCAATAAACTGTAATTTCATTTTAAAGGTAACTCACCATCAACATCACAACAACAAATGAAAAGGTCTCAGCCCGATTCAACGTCAGCTGATAAATATTTGAAAATTGATAAGTTTTTCACACAAACAAGGCTCAAAGAAAAAGATTTATTTGATCTGCAACTTGGTAGATTTATATACAGTACAAACTCTAGCTTCAGAACAGTTGAACACAAAGAATTTAAAAAATTTATCAATATGCTTCATCCAGGATACACTCTACCTAATAGAACTCAAATTGGAGCAGAAATATTAGATAGGGTTTACACAGAAGAAATTGAAAAATGTAATTTATTGAATGGGAAAATTGTAGCCATGTCTTCAGATGGCTGGAGTAATGTACATAATGAACCTATAGTTTGTATCTCTGTAATTACAGACAAAATTAACATTTTAGTAGAAACAATCAACACTTCTGGTCATTCACATACTGGTGAATATCTTGATCTTAACATTGAAAAGCATGTTACACAAATAATAAAATATATAATAAATAATCATCAAGATTGAAGAAAATATTAAAACCAATTGCAGTAGCTCCAGATAAGTTGCAAAGAGATCAAACAAAAATAAGTGACACTGTTGAAATTTTTAAAGATTTGATGAACATTTTATCATTTTTATCAAACGAAAAAAAAAAAATTGAATCTAGATACTTTCAAACTGTCAGTGATTCTCATTTCCTAGCAAACGCACTATTTTGGATCTAATCATTCTGAAAATAAAAATGAAGCTGCCATGAATTTCGCAGACAAAGAGTTCAAGAATTTGTTACCAATAATATTCAAATTAAAAGCCAAATCTATTCCATTCAATAAAAGCTATTTGTATAGTGAATCTGTTTTAAAAAATGTATCACCAATAGAATGGTGGAAATCTCTAAAAATTGTGGATTATAACATAATGGATATTGAAGGTTTATTAAATGCACCAGCTTCTAGTGCTAGAATCGAAAGAATTTTTTCAACTTTTGGTCTTGTTCATACGAAGTTAAGAAACATAATGGTGGTAAAAAAAGCAGCAAAACTTGTATTTATATATAGTACAATAAACAATGATATATATATAATAATTTTGATGAAATATAATATTGGTAAAGATATTTAATAATAATATTGGTAATAATATTGGTAAAGAATATAGTTCACTCAAATAAAATATGTTATGCTTTTTCTAATTTAAAATGATAACTAAATACCGCATTTTTTAGTAAAAACCTAATTTAAATCAAAAAAACCATGGTTTTTTGTTGTTTTTTTTAAAAACTTTTGGTTTTTTTTGCAACCCTGTCGTTGATCTTTATTTCTTTTTTTTATTTATTTTATTAATCAGAGCATGAAATGATTAAAAATTACTATAGATATAGATATATTTATTTTTAAAATAGATATATATTTTTTTGCAATTTTTTTTTTGCAATTTTTTTAAAAAATAAATGTTTATACAATTTTAAAAATATATATAAAACACTTTTTAATGATTTAAATGTTCATTCATTAAACAATCATTAGAAGTAATTTTGCATTAAACTTTTATAATAAGTTTCGAAGCAATTTATTTTAAACGCAATTAAAAATGTAACAGAAAGTATTTTTCGCTTTGAGTTTGTATTTTATGAGTTTTATTTGTGTTTATATTTTTTCTTTTTCGTAAGGAATTGTTTTCTTTTTTTATTATTAATTTTTTTTTATAATCTTCTTCCTAGTTTAAGTTTAGCGGGGTTTTTTTTCACCGCATTTCTAAAATGTTTAAAAAACCAACTAAACATCTAAACTTTCATGGTCAAGTAGTTAAAAAATAAAATAATTTACAAGGTCAGCAATAGCGCTCAATCGCACACCATTCCTGTCCAAGCTTGATATGCATATATATATATAGACACAAGCTGTCTGGACCCTTAAAATATGAGTCTTGGTAAGTCTATTTCACACCAACCTGTCTATTTCAAATTTCAAAAGTCTATTCTTTCAAATTTCAAAAGTCTATTTCACACCAACCACACCAATTTTTTTCTTTATTTAGTATTTATAAAGTTTTTCATTTAATTTTTTCAGACCATCCAAAGCTTATTAGGATCCTCGACTTGATAATTATAGACCACCCATAGCTTATTAGGACCCTCAGCTTGATAATTAATTTTGCAAAAAAAAAAAGTTTGAATGTTAAATATTTTCTCCTATAAGAAAGAAAGGCTTGACCATTTACCTAAGCACATTAATAACAAAAGTATCTCTATGACATATGCACAATAAATTTATTTTGGTGTTTTGATATTTTTAGAAATTTTGAGAACTTTTTTAAAAATTCTCTCCCTTTCATTTGTTTTAGTATATAATATCTTTATATATGTTATGTATATAATATTTATAGAAAATTAAAAATTGGAAAATATAAAAAAAAAAAAAACTAAACATGCCAAAAGTGCCCTTCTATATCAGCTTTATATGGTTAACTGGTTAGTTAACCATAGTTAACCATAGTTAACCATGGTTAGTATAGTTGTTTTTCCCCTTTGATTTCTGAGGGTTGCAGTTGTGCCTTCTGTGCATCTATGTGGCTTTGTCCCCATAGAAAGTTTTTTTAAAAAATATAGTTTTATTGCTTGTTTATTAGGTTATGTCAATAGTTTTTTCTTAATGAAATAGGTTTTCACTTAATGAAATTGATAATGCATAATTATAATACTAAAAGCCAAATATTACTTAATCCACAAAAAAAAACCCTGAAAAAATATGATGTATATATGATACTTTTATCAAATTAATAAACTTTATGCATAACTTGTTAGAAACGCAACAGACACTCTTTTTGACAGAAGTGAAATAACAGAAATTGTTTTACCAATGCATGGTATGTTAGATAATATTTTCCATAAGAAAATGTTGAAAATCTATTATACCTCCATATGTTGTTATGCCCCCACTTTCATTATACACACATTAGTAAAAGAGCTTAAAATAGGTGGAAGAGTTTATTTTATAATAATATTTATATAATATAATTTAATAAACATTTATATAATATAATTTAATACCAATAATAACTAAAAAGAATTAAAAATAAATAGAACAACTTTATGATAGAAATGGAAAAGACTAATATTGCTCTATTTTAATTTCCTAAATCCAAAAAAGCACCTCCTAAAGAATGATTAAAAGCTCAATGTAAATAATATTAGGCACAATCCTAAAAAATTAGGTGAAGATTCCTTTCCTACTTCTTTTTATTTTAAAGTATAAACCATAATCCTAGGTAAAAATCAATTAAAAAACTCTTTAATGTTTTTAATTTGTCTCAAAATTTTACTTGGCTTATTTAAAGTAACAAATTTACTGTTTCAAGATAGTACATAGTCAAATTATCAAATGCCATATGCAAAGAATTAAGAAAAACAAGCAAATAAGAAGTGAAATACCCTTTGTCTTGCATGGATCGAATTTTGAGTGTAAGCTGCTAATTGTGTATCTTATGAAACAGTGTTTTTATAAAACAACTTTTATGAAAAAGTAAAAATATATAAAATATAATATTTATTATTGATGTATGTTGTATGAAAAAAGATTTTTTAAAATTCATTTTATCTTTTTTATATCTTATTAACATTTAAAAAATTACATTCACATTTACAATAATAAGAAATTCTTATAAAGAAATAGCTATTCTGCAGGTATTCGCTATTAAGTAATGAAGAAATATAAAGTGTTTCCTAAACAATATTAAAATTTGCATTTCTTTTTGTTTCAGAACACTTAATTCTTCGACAAGTGAAAACATAGTCAATCTTATGTTTTCACTTGTCAAATCAAAGTCATATCACAAAAAAACAAAACAAGCATAATTAGCTTTTTTAAACACCAAGCACAACTAACTAACTTAGCGACGTGAGATCAAGAAAATTAGATAGAAACAAAAAACCTAACGAAATCGTGATAAACCTAAAATTATCTAGTGGAATTATTCAGTACATTCCAACCAAGAATACATTTGTTATAAAAAATACGCTAATACGTACTATTGTGTAAAATTTTTGTGATGTTATGCTTCTCACAAATATACGGCTTCATTCACACATAATAACACAAATCTGAATAAATATACAAGGATAAGGTAAAAAAAGATTATGAACAAAAGTATATAATAAAGAACAAATATTTGATATACTGATTTTAGAGGCTGTTGATGTCTACAGGTGTGATGGTGTTGTGCATCAGTATGTACCGTTTGGTCGTCTAGTATTGTCTCGTTATGTTTTCGTTCACTTTCAAATCGGATGAATAGAAAGCTAAATACACTCACTCCTTGCGCTTATGGACTAGCACATCAGAGCCAGACGTAAAACCTACAGAATGGATTTCAATTGATCGAATGCACACATTAGTCACCATAGGCCACAAGCCATCACTCTTAGCCAAAAGAGCTACTGCCCCTTGCTGGTGTGGAATGATGTGCTATGAAGTAGATTTCAGATCCGAGCACATAGTCAGCAAGCGCTGATCTGACGTGCATTGTGGAGCTTCCAACTGAACGTGTGCGTGAGTGTCAGCGTAGTCATTAGGTTATTGATCGCCATAACCACATCCAGCGGGATAGCCTAATGTCTGTTTTTTTATTGTGATGTACATTGGAAAAAGTCGGGGATCACCAGCCACAAAGAATAAACTTTTGTTTATGCAACACAATGATCATAAAAAGTGACCAACGGAGCCGTCCAGTTACGTAGACCTGGCAAATGTGAAAATAAAAACAGATTGAAAATGATGTCATTTAGGTAAAAAAAACATAAATTAATGTAAAGACTATTTAATAGGAGGAGTAAAAGTTAGCAACTCAGAAGAGGGGAACCAAAATTCACACTCAAGTGATCTTTTAGCAAATGATAGCTAGACGACCAAACGGTACTTACTAATGCACTACACCATCACACCTGTAGACATCAATAGTCTTCAAAATCAGTATATCAAATATTTGTTCTTTGTTACATATGATCTACACATAGAGTGACTAAAGTTTTAGTTGGTTCTCCCCCTGCACCACAACATTTATTTTTTAAATGTGATATACAAACAGATCTTACCGATTCCAATGGGACACTGTGTCTCATTGAAATTTATTGATGTATGTAAAACTATCTTAGTATTAATTTATTGAGATCATTGAGATATACATGCGCATACGTACATGGAATGAATTAATAGATGCCAAGTGCTTGTTTACTTCCAAACATGAGTGCAAGGACAGGCCCCTGACGAGTGGCGTTAGTCCAGGTCTCGGGCTCTCCAAAACATCATTGGTGATCCCAGTGCATTCCTGAGGAGGGGGATCACCATTTATTCACTACTTAATTCTAATTGGTTATTATGGTACCAACATACTTTTACCTCTTACATCCATGAATTTTTGCGCTTTGTGAGCTTTTTATTATAAATTTGTTACATTAACGACATTTATATATTTTTATGTTACACAGGTGATTATCAGTTCTCAATTTTTTATCTAGAGTTTAGTACATATATAGTACCACATTTATTAGACATTTGTATGGTGCAATTATTTTAGTTATGAATACCATTATAAATCAGGGGATTTTTATAGACTTGTTTACTCATAGATCATTGTTTTATCATTTGCTAAAAGATGACTAGAGTGTGAATTTTTTTTCCTCTCTTCCTGAGTTGCTAACTTTTACTCCTCCTACTAAATAGTCTTTACATCAATTTATGTTTTTTTACCTAAATGACATCACCTTCAATCTGTTTTTATTTTCACATCTCCCAGGTCTATGTAACTGGACGGCTCCGTTGGTCACTTTTTGCGATCATTGTGTTGCATAAGCAAAAAACATAGTCAATCAGCCAATGTTTTCACTTGTCAAATTAAAGTCATATCACAAAAAAACAAAACAAGCATAATTAATTTAAACATAATCTTAAATCTTGACCATGTCGCTTGAAGTACGTCAACTATACAGTACACCATATATACAAAGTCATATCACATTAATAAAAAAACAAAACAACCATAATTAGCTTTTTATACATAATCTTAAATCTTGACCATGTCACTTGAAGTGGCCTTGTAAGATCACTTCAAGAATTTTTGTAAGATCACTTCTTCATTGTAAGACCAATTTTTATTTGACCATCTAAATCTACTGCAAATTTCCTTATTATTAGTACTAAGATATTTTTTAGTTATATCCTTAATTTTTATTATTTTTTTAACTATAAGATATTAAATTTAATGACTTCACTATTAAAGAAATGAAAATATGTTGCTAACTACAATTTACCTTTAAAAAACTTATAATGGAAACTTTTAGAATGCCAAAATGTGCAGGTAATAAGAAAAAACTATATATTTTATATATATATTTTTATTTTGTTTAAATTATTAAATATTTTTTTATGTTAAATAAAAAGTATTTCAACTATGAAGCCTTTACCACAATTTTGAAAATTTGTGAAAAATATGGAAACTAAGAGAAAAATAAAAAAAAAAAAAATCAGAAGAAAATAAAGCACCAAAATATTAGAAAGTTTTATTGATGAGTAATCTTCAATACGTAATTAAAAAATAAAATTAAAAAAAAATTAAAAGTTAAAATATCTATAAAGCTTACATTTCCAAAATATTTATCAAGTAGCTCAACATATCTATGAATCATTTCTAAAGAAATCAGCTCGTTATCACCACTTTCTATACCAACCACAAAGTATAAACTTGCATAACTTGAAAAAATAAAACAAATAAAAATTATTTTAGGTTTGCCATATTTCAATCCAACAGTTTTAGTCACAAACTACTATATTATAAAAATATTTTACAAATAGTTCATCATGCTCTCACAAGTATACTATAATAACTGGAGCATGAGTTTAATATTTGCACAAAATAATAAAACATAATATAAATTTAAATTAAAATATTTATATTTAAATAAAGCTTTTTCTCTTTTAAATTGCATTTTTAAGTATTAGAAATGTAGAAAAACCTTTGAAAAAGTTGAACTTTTGAAGCTATACTGAGGGATAGGATTCTGGATATTTGGTATAGTGTAGTAAAACGTAGTGTAATATTTTGCAATGAGATATAATTTTATTGCAATATAACACATGGCTGACAAGTGATGTTAGTGCAGCTTCTTTTTTTTCTTTCTATATCTTCACTTTATCCAACAAGGCTGCAAGCAACCACTATTAGAGTTGGAAGTTACTGGAAGAGAAAAGATAGAGTTTATAGAGCAAGATAGCAATTAACACATGAATTAAAAGATTGCATATTATATGAATTAGGAAAACAAGATGAAGGATACAAATGTAATGTAAGTAAAAAAACAACATTAGAGGAAAAAAACTAGACATTCATAATATTCGAGGAAAAAAACTATGCAAATAAGAATTTTTAGGAACAGTCACAGTAAAAGTATTTAAATTTTTATTTAAACTTAATTAAATGACGAGTAGCAAGAGAATGAATTTTAGTAGGAAAAGAGAAGCTAGCTCTTTAGAGCAATGTCAATTTTAGTATTTATAGAAAAGAAAGAAAGTAAATTTACAGCAATGTGATAATAAATAAAGGTTGGCTGCAGGAGCAGGTCCAACTATGTTTACAATCCATTTTTGCACCTTGTCTAGAAGAGGAAAGTCATCATTCGAAGATCCGCCCCAGATATGGCAACAGTATTCCATACAAGGATGGATTTGATATTTATAGAGATAAAGAATAGAATCCAGAGTAAGAAATTGGCAAGCACAATAAAGAGATGCAACCTTAGCAGACTATGGTTTCCGAGAATTCAATCAATATGATTTATGGTTTCTAAGAAAGATTGGGTAAGTATGAGTAAATCCAAAAAGATAAAGGGTAGAAGACTCACCAAATACATTAACTTGTATAAATGTAGAAAGATCTAGATTATTGCGATAATGGTCAGCAGAAAAAAATTTTATCTGAGGTAAAGTTAAGTTTTATTCGAGTTAAAGTTAATCAGCCACTGTGAGCCCCATGCTGTAGCAGAAGTGAGACCCCATTTCAAGATCAAATACCTTCTCCAAGCAATCAGAGAGTGCTGGCTTCTTATTAAGACAAGAATTAATAGTAGTATTATCAGCTAACAATGTCACCTTAGATGTGAGAATTTCTGGAAGATTGGTAATGTAAATTAAAAAGAGTATAGGGCCAAGGATTGAACCTTGAGGAACCCCTGAAGTTACAGAATATGAAGAAGAGTGCTGTCCATCAAGGACAACTTTTATACTACGATTGATAAGGAAGGATTCAATAATCTTAATGGTGTTACCTTATACACCATAAGCAGAAAACTTGTGGAGAAGACCAGCATGCCAAACTTTATCAAAGCATTTAGAAATGTAGAGAGCAATATCCTTAACCTCTTCACATCTATCTAATGCACGATAAAACCTATCAGTTATTACTGTTACCAAATCAGTTGTAGAATGAGAAGATCGAAATCCATATTGATGATCAGTATGTAAGTTACTAGATTCAAGATGAGAGATTAGGTGTTTGTCAAAGACTCAAAAACCTTGATTATGATAGGAAGAAGACTAATGGGATGGTAGTCAGATAACTCTCCAGATTTTTTGAAAACAAGGATAACAGATGTTGTTTTCCAGCAGGCTGGAAAACAAAACTCTGATAAGCACTTGTTAAATAGTTTTGAAAGTATAAACAACAGCTCCAGAGAACACCTCTGCAAAGCAATAACAGGTATGTTATCTAGACCACAAGCTGTAGAAGAGAATAGCAGGAAATCACTTTAGATACAGAAGCTAGAGTGATACGAACATCAAGCAATGGATCAACCTGTTTGTCAGCTATACCAGGTAGAACAGGAATCAAGAAAAAAATATTGATGAGAAGTTCTTGGTAAACAAAAGTGACAAAATCTGAACCATAAAGGAGAGGTGAAACAACAGATTTGCCTTTGCTATAGATACTGTTAAAGATTCTCTAGAAGTCACGAGAGCCTAGTTTTTGAGATGAAATACAAGTTTTTATGACCTAAAAATAGTGGGCTTTGGCGTTAAACAAACCTTTCTACAATTGTTTCAAGCAATAGTAAACAGACATCTGATTTCTGGATAATTATTTTGCTGATAGATATGGAAATATGGTTTTGATTGGAAATTGCAAGAGTAAAATGAGAGAGCAGTGACTCTGCAGGTGTTAAGGCCCAAAAGTTTTGGGCCTTAACACCTGCAGAGTCACTGACACTAAAGTCAAGCCACTCAGTGTGATGAGCATTAAAATCACCAACAACAATGATATTAGCTGAAGGATAAGGAGAAAGAGCTTGGTCATTTTGATATGAAATAATATCAAAAAAAGTGAAGTCATGAGATGAAGGAGAATGATATAAAACAAAAAGAAAGGCAATAGAGCAAAGCGGTGTTAAACAAAAGCACATAAAAGAATAGCCTATGGATTCAAACCTAGTTTCCCAACAAATGGGTGAATTCTTACCAATGTATATGCCCAGGCCAAGCATGTGGCTATTGGAGTCTTTACAAATTAAAGGAAAATGACCATTGACACTAAGATTGTCAGATGAGACAGCTGAACTCAAATTAATCTCACAAAGGGCAAGTAGGTCTGGTGAACTTTGCAAGAGATAAGTCAAAACAGAAGAAAAGTTTCTTCAAAGACCACGAATATTAGTGAATGTTAGATTTAGAGAACTTGGTGATGACGATAGTTTCTTGTGTTTTATAGTTTTTTGTACTTTGGACATTTTTAAAATTGGTTAAAGAATTTGACTCAAAGCACAGATAGTACTCAGTATACTATTTAATAGTGTTAAAAGCAATTACCTCCTTACTATTAATAAACCCTAAGCTGTAACAAAAGGCTTTATGTGGCTTTGACAATGCACACCAAAAGTACAAACAGGGACACCATCCATGTGCAACATGACCTTCTTAGTACTCTGATACTTTACAGCTGTTGATGGAATCTACCACAGAGTTAAAGAAACCTGACTACCAGCCAGCCTCAGAACCATAAAACTGAGTTTTAGAGCTGCACCCTTATTAGGAAATAATTGCAATTACAACAAAGCTATAATTGGAATAAAATCTGTAACCGGGCATTGCTTCAATTTATCATTTATTTATATATTTAGGTTTTCTAGTTATAGTGCTAGAGATTGTATTATAAGATTATATTTTAGGCTTGAGTCATAAAAATAGAGACACAATCAAAACTCATGCATTGAGTCAAGAAGATCTAGCATTCAACATTCTAAAATGGAAACAATGTATTATAAATACATGTATGCCAAAACATCATTTTTAATTACAATGCACTATATGTTAACAACAAATTATTAAAAATTTCAAAACTTTAAATAATGTTAAAATTAATATTGCACATCCTAACATCTAGTGCAATATCTGTCTGCTTTCTCTATGCTATCTTTTCAACTCTACATCTTCTGACTTTCACTCTAATTCCATTGTTCTTCTTAAAACCACTTACTTTTGGTCTTTTAAACCTATATTACATTGTTTCCTGTCTTGGATGATGAATGCTAGATCTTCTTTACTCTATTCATAAATTTTTACTTGTGCTTTTTTAATACGCTGTTATCTGTAAACAACTGTAAAATATCAGAGTATTAACAGTGCCATGTTATGCATTGATGGTGTCCCTGTTAGTGCTTCTGGAGAGTTTACAAGTTTGGGTTACAAGTTTGGGTTAAATAGCAGGACTGAGACAACTGCATAGCTTATTGATTGAAATGCCATGCACTATCTATGAATGAGTCAAGTTCTTTTTAACTTAAACCATGCCCAAAGTAAGCATCAATATTAAACATAAAAAAACATCACCACCATCAGGCTGTTTCAATATATCTTTGACAAATATTTTTGGTCTTCAAAGTAACTTTCCATAGATAAATCTTATCTCTTGCAAAATTCACTTGCTCTTTGTGAGACTAATTTGCTTGCTTATTGTAAGACTAATTCTATTTTTTTAATTTTTTATTTTTTTAGAGGAAACAATTCGAATTTGATTAATTCGAATTGTTTCCTCTTTGAACCTCAGTATTGATAACTACTATCATTTGATTCCAATTTGGCTTGTGAGTATACTTATGTCAATTTACCTATTTGTCAAAAAATCAGGTTCCAATCCTCAGGCCATTCTTTAAATGTTTCTGCTTTCCTTTTCCCAATTAAACACTTCTACGGCTTGTGATCAAAAAAGAAAATTACTGTCATGGTCTTACAAAGTGTTTTCCAGAACTCTTTTCAATTCTTTTAAATTATTCAATTAACAAGCGCTTGACTAAATCTTGTTTTCCTGCCTGCTGGAAAATACTTCATCTGTGATTGCATTTTTTAAAAGCTCTGGAGAACACTTTGACCCTTCCAAGTATAGACCAATCAGTCTTCTCTCTGTTAATAGCAAGGTCTTTGAGTTTAATCAACAAATTTCTAACATCCTATTATGAGTGTAATAACTTAATCTCTGACAATGAATATAGATTTCAATATCCTTGTTCTGACTTGCTAACTGCTGTGACTAAAAGATTTTATTATATATTAGATGTGGGTGTAAAGCTTTCAACAAAGTTTGGCATGGTTGTCTTTTCCACAAGCTTGCTTCTTATGTTATATCTGAAAAAATTTATGAGGGGATCAAATTATTTTTTTCTCACCGCAGTATTAAAATAATCTACAAAGGCTAACACTCTTCTAGATTTCCAGCAATTTTTTGGGAACTTATATTGTTTCTTATCTACATTATTGATCTTCCTGACAATCTTACATCTAAAGTGGCTATATTTGCTGATAACTTAACTTTATATTCCTGCATTGACGGTTTTCTTTTTTCAACCATTAAGAACAGATAGTTGATCTTGAATTCAATATCACTTTCAGTAACAACTTGGGGTTTGCAGTAGCTTGTGAATTTTAACTCAAAAACAACAAAACTCAGTTATTTACTGCAAAACAACTCTCACAATATTGTCACTCCTTTAATATTGAATGGAAATCCTCTGAACTCTCTTCTTTATGAGTTATTGAATTAAAATTCAATACTGAACTCTCGTGGAAACAATATATACAATCAATTGCAAAGTTAGTATCTGCTAAGTTTGTTTTTCTTTATTGTGCTTTTCATTATCTATCCCCTGATTCTATTCTCTATAAATCTTTTATTTGTCCCTGTATAGAATACTGCTGTCAAATTTGGGCTAGTTTTTCTAATGTTCTTTCTTAGCAAAGTAATAGATTCTTCAACTTTATTACTATGCTATCAAGTAATTCCAAGAATTCAATTTATGTAAAAATTGTCTCTTTAGGCTTTTAAAGATTTACCTTTAAATAAATATTAATTTCAACAACAATTCAATGCAACATAAATTGGAAATGAATCAAGCAAATGGAACTTTTGCATAAGACAAAAAAAAAAGAAAAACTACTAGAGAGCCTATGTAAGTTTTTCACAAACCCTCATATCAATGTATGTCCTAAGTACATACAAAGTCTATGTATGTACAAAAGCCCTCTTCACAGTTATTTCATTATAAAGTCATCAGTGATTTTAGTTTTTTCAGCTAAATCAGCAAAGATAACTGTAAATATATACGACCACTACAACTAATAATAAAAACTACTTCTATAAAAAGGTGAAAATAAAAAAAAAAATCTTAAAAATTTATTACAATTATAACTAATATTAGTACATTTTTCATACCGCTTATAGCAAATCTTCATATCTTTGTATTCCAAAAAACTGCACATCTTGGGCTTTCTAGCTAAAATTGTAGTGAGAAGATCTCGAACTATCTTTTTCTTTTCTTTTACAGTAAAAGTATTATACCATTTTTGCAAACGAACTTTGCCTTGTCTACTGAAGAGCAAAATAAATTGCCACTAGAAAAATAATAAACATATAGATACTTTATGACGCTATTGTAAGGACAAAAAAATGTTACTTAGTTATAAAACATAGCAAAGTAATATGTTAAATCAAGTTAATTGCAGTAACTTACCATTTTAAAAGTTGGTTATATGTAGTTCTTTGAAAAAATCTTCGTTTTTATTATTTAAAAAATCAATTGCTAAAATAATTAATAAATTCAAAAAAAAAGAAGATGATATTAATATTAACAATTATAATAACTAAAAAAAAAAAAATAATAGCAACAATAATAATAGTAGCACGTGATAAGTTGTAGGTTATCTATATGTTAAAAAAATGGGAAAATTTTCCAATAAAAAATCGTAACAAAAAGTAGATTAAAAAAACAATTTTATTTTATGTTTAAGTTTTCTTTAATTATTAAAGAATTTTAATTTATTAAGAATTGTAGAAATGAACCGTTGGTACATTGCTTTACATTTACGTACTTTTCACTTATGGCCACTTCCTCATGTCCGCGTCATTTGACTCAGTAATGGAAATAATTTTTTGTCCTGAAAAAACTTGATTTTACCCGGAAAATATTTTTCTTTTTACTTGCTTTGCTGGTAAAAGCATATCAAGAAAAAATATATATATATATCCCTGATTATATATATATATATATATATATATATATATATATATATATATATATATATATATATATATATATATATATATATATATATATATATATATATATATATATATATATATATATATATATATATATATATATATATATATATATATATATATATAGTAGTAGTAGTAGTAGAGAAATTGCTGCAACAGGTTTCCCTGTATAACCTACAGGTTTTGGCAGCCTTATCTACTTTATACATTAATTTTATTCATATCAATATATATAAAAATTTACAATAAGATATATAGTATAAAGTATAAGTTTGTACTTTATTGTTTTTCCTTTATTGTTTTTTTTTTTTTTTTTTTTTCAGTTATAATCTCGATACTTATGCGGATTATTTGAAATTTCTGCATCAAGCTTAGCCTTGAAACTGTTAACTGATGAAGCGCATACAACTTCTGACGGCAATGCATTCCAATGATTCACTATTCGATTAGTAAAAAACTGGTGCCTTTGATCACAATTTTTAACATATTCTCTAGTCATTTTTAGATGATGTCCTCTAGTTTTTATTTTATTTGACTGCCCAACACGAAGGACATGTGGTTCACTCCATGAGACAATGTCTATATTGTTAAAAATTTTATAGGCCTGTATCAGATCTCCCGTAATGCGACGGGTTTCTAAAGACGTTAAGTTCAGTATATTCAGACGATCTTTGTATGACATATGACGGTACGAAGGTACTAAACGGGTAGCTCTTCTTTGTACTTTCGGAGTCATGTGACTGAAAGTACGATACAACATGCCTAATACACGGTTAGCTTTATTGGTGGCAAAAGTTGAATTGTTATGCCATTTTAAGTCTGGCGTAATCATGATGCCTAAATCACGTTCGACTAAAGTTGATGCAAGTTCGACACTGTTATTGTTATTAGCTGGCATTGAGTAGACATAAAAGTTGTTTTTTTTACCTATGTGCATGATTTTACATTTATCGAGATTAAGTTTCATTTTCCAGGTATTACACCAATCGGCTATGTTGTAGATATCAGTTTGAAGCATTTGTGAAGCTAATGGGTGGTCTAAACGGGCCAGCAGTTTAGTGTCATCAGCATACATTTTACATGGATGGTTAACAATATCGGATATACCGTTCACAAAAATGATAAAAAGTATTGGACCTAATACGGATCCTTGAGGGACGCCACTAAATACCTCAAGCCACGAGGAAACATAATCGCCCATCACGATTCGTTGAAAACGCTGGTGTAAAAACGATTTTATCCAATTCAGGAGATTTCCAGTAAAACCATATGCCTCAAGTTTGTAAATTAGTCTCTTGTGGGGAACCATATCGAATGCTTTACTGAAATCTATAAAAGCTACGTCCATAGATATCTTGTCAGATAATGCTTTTGACATCATGTCAATCGACTCCAACAAATTAGTCACACAAGCTTTTTTATTGACAAAACCATGTTGATTTTTTGAAATAAGGCTATGTTCGACTAAATGATTGACCATAGTGTCACGTAATATTTTCTCCATCACTTTACATACAACTGATGTTAAGGATATAGGCCGGTAATTGCCTGGGTCGAGTCTACTTCCATTTTTAAACAGTGGTGTTACATTAGCTTTTTTCCATACTTTAGGACAACACCCACTATCTAGCGACTTCTGAAAAATTGCGCTTAAAGGTATTGAGAAGCTGTCAGAACAGTTCTTCAGTACATATGCGCTTACACCATCCAAACCAACGGTTTTGTCAACTGATAAATTGCTCAGCTTGTTTTTAACCAGATCTAGCGTTATTTGCGAGTATTTGCAGATGGCTTCAGTTATATATATATATATATATATATATATATATATATATATATATATATATATATATATATATATGCACCTACTTGCGCCGGCCCTATATATATATATATATATATATATATATATATATATATATATATATATATATATATATATATATATTATATATATATATATATATATATATATATATATATATATATATATATATATATATATATATATATATATATATATATATATATATATATATATATATATATATATATATATCAGGGACGTCTTTAGCTCGAATTCTTTCTTTAGAAAGTTCGTTGATAAGTAATAAGTATTTTTTTGTTAAATAATTAATACAAGTTAAAAACTGTTTTTTTTTTTTTTTAAATTGTGTTAAATATATAAAGCTAAATGTTTGTTTTTCTATACTTCTTAGTTGCAAAGCATTTTTTATCTTAAAAAAAACGTTAGCAAAAAAAACTAAAGTTTCACGTCTGACTTCCCAAACTTTTTTTTTCGCTTGAAAAAAATTCAGACGAAAAATTGTTTAAAACTCAAACAAAATTACGAAGAAATTATTTTATTTTGCTGTATTAGGTATGTAATTTTAACTATTTTTTTTTTAATTTCTTTTAATTTTAAATAATCATTAGTCGAATTTCGAAGGTCCACTTTTTTTTCGAAAGCCTAGTGCAAATGTGTCATCTGCCCCGTAGGTAATCCGGCCCTGATAAGAGACACTGTTTGTTACAATTGAACCTGTCATTTCAAAAAATGGACACAAGTACAAAACTTTTAATAAGATTTATGTTTTTTTTTTATATATTACAAATGAAAGGTAGGCAACTTTTAAATTGCCTAAAAAAATGTTAAAATATATATATATATATATATATATATATATATATATATATATATATATATATATATATATATATATATATATATATATATATATATATATATATATATATATATATATATATATATATATATATATATATATATAAATGGTCGGTGTGGAACAGACTTACAAAAAACTGTTTTTTACCGGTCCTGTCAGCTAGTTTATGCATAAATGTACAAATACGTATGATGTATAATAAAACTTCAAATTAAAAATTAGATTTATTTTCAACTCTATAATTGATCTGTAATGAAATTACATTTATACATTTAATCATAACAAGGCTTATTTGTATTAGAATTTATTCTTTTAAGCGTTTGAATTCTTTTGTATTTTTGTAGCCCTTTTTACAATTTATAGAAAAAGTACAAATTTTGGTATTCCTAAAAACACTTTGTCTTACTAGATAAAACATTAGGAGTATATATTTACCAAGTACTGTCATTATGGAGCAAAGAGACGAAAGTTAAATGTAGGAAAGCATGATTTTGTTGATAAAGCTGTTTATAAAGAGTTTATAAACGCACGTCAACAAATTTTACCAGTTCGTTAACACATCATCAAAAAGAAAACTTTAGATTTTGGAAAAGAACTTAACATAACTGTTTCAGAAGGACGTCTAGATTATTGGAAAAACAGACGCAATGTTGCTTTTTTATGGGTTCGAATATAAATACAGGTTTAAAAAACTTATTTTAAATTCAATTCCCATTTAACTTGATCTAAGCAAAAATAACATATTTGGTTGTTTAGAAAAAACTACAGTTGTGTTTTTAATGGTGGAGTAAAATTGCATTTTTATTATTACATCTTTATGCGCTTAAGTTGGCCAATTTTTATTTTAATTTGTCATTTTTTCCTTTTCAATTTGGCATTTTTCACTTTAATCTGTCAATTTACATTTAAATTTGGCACGAATTTGTTTTGCAAGTCTTGTGTGCCAAATTATAATAAATAATTTATTGACATCTGAAACGAATATAATAAAAAAAGTTTTGCACCTCGAAATGAGTGTTATTGTGTATATTTTTGTAAAAACCTGCACTTTAGGGGTGTTCAAAAAATAAAATTTCGAAAACGCAAATACAAAACAAGCTAAATTTGGGGCAAATATAAAAAAAATGTTACAAAAAAAAATAAAAATAATAAAAAAAAATTGAGAATTACCTTATGCTCTAGAGTCAAAACACTCCCAAAAATGCCCCAAAGAGTACCCAAGTAACAAGGCTTAGGGCAGAAGGTAAATGTTAATTTTTTTTAATGTGCTAATAATTGTCTATACTTTTTTTGAAATTGATGTGTATCCGCGATTTTTCTTCTTTAAATTAAAAACAATTTTATGAAGAAAAAAAACACGAAAATAAGCGTAAACAAAAAAATGCGCAATAATTCTACGTTTGTAATTATTTGATTTGTTCAAACAAATCAAATAATTACAAACGTAGAATTTTTACGTAGAAAGATTATAAACGTAGAAAGATTATAAACGTTTATAATCACATTGTTTGATTTTTATTTTATTTATTTTTATTTTTTAATTTGTTTTTATATAAATTAAAATAAATTTTATTTTATATAGAAAAACATTTTTTTATAAGTTGATTAAGTTGGTTAATTAATACAAGATTAATAAACTTAAATTACAATTAATTGATACATGATTAATAAACTTAAATTACAATTAATTGATACATGATTAATAAACTTAAATTACGTGAAACTTATATCTTTTTAAAATATGTTTTTAATATAAATTCTAAAGTTCAAGCTTTTTTTTTTTTTTAATTTTTTAAAATTTATTTGTCAAGCAATTATTTACAATTAAAGGTAA